TGTTTCTTAAAAGCAAGCATTTGTAAGGCCTGTCTTTTCTATAAAAGGAAAATTGTCTTCACTTTCTAAATCTCTTAGCTATAAAGAGAGCAATTTGAAAAAAAGATTGAAGGTCTCATTTTGATCACAGTGGAACAAAAAAACACAGCTTGGAAATTTTGGCATTTAGAAACAGACTACAATGTTTCAACAAAAATAGTAATCTTATAAAAGAGCACCAGTTTTATTTTCTGAGTTTGATTTTCAAATTTCGGTTGCTCCGTAAGGAAATTAAACATTTTTAGACACCCAAGTACAAAGTAAGTATCTCTGAATTCACCATAACAAAATCCCTCAAGCTTATGCGAAAAAAGCCTTTTTTATTGGAAATATTTTTACAGGTATACCTATCATTAAAGCTCAATTTTAGTGTTTCTGTAATTATGGATATTGTTTAGAAATAGAAGAAACTCGATTTTTTTTTGTAATTCTTATCTTACCTACAATTTGTGAGAAGAAAGAACCGCAGGATAGGCTGTCCGCTTGATTCTTTGAATCTTGCAATGAGTATAATATAAATACGAGGATAAAATTCAGAAACAAAGCAAAACGGCGACGAGAATCCAATGTTGTGAGATAAATTTTCCAAAATAAATTAAATTGAACGAATACTGATATTTTTCCCCGGCATACAGGGCTGAGAATAACGGAATGTAGATGATAGAAATGGTGGTGATGATGATTATAATGGTAGGGGAAATATGGTGTGGGTTGTGAGGACGGTGTGATACGGGTGATTAGTTGTGTTGTAAAGTTAACGGTCGGTGGTTCTGTTCATGCCGTTGGGGGTGAGGGTGTTCGTCAGGCCAATGAGATTTTGCTTTATAGCTCGAAGAACACTCTCTCGTTTGTCATTAAGTCTCAGTAATGGTGTAATGGCAAGGTTGTTCATGGTGTGTGCTGGCCTGCTGGGCTGCAGAAATGTTCTGCAACTCCGGACTTGTCATCTTTTTTGTTGATTATGTCTCGTCTGTGTTCGTTAAATCTGTCTTTAAGTCGTCTGCTTGTTATGTTGGCTCTTACTGCCCGTTTGTGATATGTTGGCTCACAAGGATCATTGGGTGTGGCACTTTTTATTTTGGCACGAACCAGTAAATCCCGGAAGTTTTACGGTCTGCGGTAACTTAGTATAGGTGCGTCGGGGAAGGCTTTTTGCATGTGTTAGAGTTTTGTAGTATGTCAAGGTTTTGTTTGAGTATGGTGGATAGTTGTGGCAAAGCTGGGTGGTAGGTGACAGCAAATGGCGTGCGATGATTTGTGCGTGGTTTGGTGGTCTTGAGGCAGTCTTCTCTGGTTTTTTGGAAGCCTTCTGTATTTGTTTGCTTGTCTGTTTGGGTTTGTAAGCCCGTTTTGTCAAGTATTCCAGTAGTTGTCTCGTGCGATATTTAAACATTTCGTCTTCGGAGCAGATCCGTCGTAGTCGTAGGGCAAGACTGTACGCAATGGATTGTTTGGTGTGTTTGGGGTGTGCAGAGGTGCGGAGGTGCTGAGGAGATATTGGTGTGTATCCGTGGGTTTAACATAGAGATCTGTAGAGAGGGTATTATCATTATTAATGGAAATGGTGACGTCAAGAAAATGTATTAACTACAATTCCCTGATAAATGCTCTATTTTTTCCCTCTAAAACTTTTAGCCTAAAACTTTTTGTTACTTGTAACAGCTATTTAAATTTCCTTTAGTTACCAGAACGGCTTTTTTGGCGAATGGTGCAATCCTTTCGGACCGTAAGTGTAAGACCTTAAGATAATTTTGGGGCATAACTCTTCATGAATGTGTGATGAATGTTTCATACATTTTGAAAAGAAAATGTTGCTTGACTTTCCTCAACAACGTATTCCGAGATGGCATATCCTGCATTCTTTGATTTATTATGCTTCAAGAATAGTCAATGTTCCATGGGCTCCGACGCATGATGGAAAGTAGGGAAAGGGGCGGTCAAGGGAAAATTTAGCAATCATAACAAAAGGTTTTGAAAAAAGCTATATTGTTTTGCAAAAAAGTGGGGGGGGGGGAGCATGCCCTGTGTTCATTTCCTTCTTGCATCAAACACACTTTCTCTCCGTCTATACTTTGGCTGTGGATCAATACCTCAGACCCTACTTCAGCATCTCGAGGCGAAGATAAACATGTGCACGTCGAGCTCGAGACGAAAGACAGAAATGTAATTATGTTGCTGCTGCTTGCCTCGTTTTTGTTTTGTTTTCCCGGCTGGGCGGAGATTGAAAAAAGATAAGGTGAAAAGACCATTAATTCAAAAACCAAGCTGGGGCAAAAAGTAGCAATAAATGTGCGACCTAAACAAAATTTCCAGATTTGCCCGACCGATATACTGCCAGCCATAAATTTGCCCGACAAAATCTACTTTTTTGAAGATTTGGAGGGGGGGTGCAGCCCCATACCCCCCAGCAGTTTCGCCCCTGTACACGGTCTCATCGAGTGCAGGGGTGCTGTCCTAAATTGTTAGGAAGGTGGGCTGTGCTGTAGAAGCCAAACCCAGGGAAACATCAATGGCCACACCCTGTATTCTTACATTTGCGTTAAAGATTCTCTGCTGTGCATATTAAATTATTCAAACTGTTCACAGACTCTGAAAGGCCAATAGAAATTGTTCCTTTATAGAGAATCAACGGCATAATAAAGGGTTAGTTGTGATTGCTAAGTAAGGAATGTACCGGCTTGGTGATAGGGGGCTGAGCCCCCGAAATCAAATCACTCTTAATTTAAACAAGGGGGGCTGAGCCCCCCTCCACGACACCACTGATCGAGTGGTAAGAGCGTTGAGGAAAGTGGGGAAGGAGGGCTAAAACCGAATAAAAAGAGGCTTTACTAATGGTTCTTCTCCTAATATCGTATCGTACATAAATGGTTCTTCTCCTAATAGCGGTACCCTTTTTAGCTGCCTTGCCCTGTTCCCCACCTTCCAAATCGTCACGTGTACATATTGTGACCTCTTTCTGCTTTCCCCATTTATGTTAAGGTGGGAATGTTTAAGGAGCGTTTAGTTGATGGGCAGGACCATTTTTATTATTCTTCCGCAAGGAGAGCAAAGGTTGAGTGACTAATTATTATAGTGGAAATGAAACAGGAATAATAAGAGAAAGTAAAGTGCCTTTTTCCATAAGCTAGAAAGAGAAACATTTGGCACTAAAGACATAATTCGGATGCATGATAATAGAAAACTATGATATGTGGCATGGATTCGGTTTAACAAATCAACCACGGGCCTAAAAGGAGGATGACAACACGGTGTTTGCAGAGTTGAAGGATACGGGTTAACAGAGATCATAAAAAAAAATTCGCTGTGTAAATCAGACATTCTTCCAAAATGGTAAGTTAAAGCTTTTGATGGAATTGATATATAAATTACTTGGCTGTTTTTGAAACTGAAGAGGTGCGAAATGAGGGGGGCACTAGGACTCTGTCGAACTCCCTTCTTCCGCTTCATAGTAAAGAGTTAGAGCATTTGTTACTAGAGGTATTTTTTCAACATTAATATTTTAAGACGACAATGAACGGTAAAGATCGAGTTCTACAATGCAAGTACGGCGAACCGGGTTGGTTTCATGAGTGTGTTTATTATATCAATATGAGTCTCCGTCATGTTATGTCCTCTGAGTCAATCGATTGACATCATCACTCCAAATATTGACATCGAAAGTTTAGAATTAAGGAAATATCTTTCATTCCATTTGAGTGACCGTTTATTAACCTATATAACTACCAGAAGTCAAATTTAATAGGAAACGTTAAGTAAAAAAAAGAATAAAGGCAATTATTCTTGGTTTTATGGGAATTTCTAAATAGTCATTTCTAATCAAAAGCTGTAAATATTGTTGTCGGAAATGTTAAATGCATTTCTAAAGTTTAGCAGTCTTTCTTATTTTTCCAATTTTAACCTGATAATATTCAGGTTCAGGTTGAGGTTTTATTGGAGCTAATATTCAGCCAGGTTCCAAAAAATTGAAACCTCAGCCCATGACAGCATTCCAAAATAAATTTGGTAACTTGCCAGTTTGATTACATCAAGCTTTATCAAGCTATATAAGGAAATAAAAATATGAACTGCCCAATCTTATTGTGGGTTTAAAAACCTTCATGTGCCCTGGCTAATGCCAACAATGCTCTACAATGTAGGCACATATAATAACGATTTAACATGTTTTCAACTCTAAAGAGACAAATTTATCAGTTTCATTTTTTACTCTCACTTCCATTTGATTGTTAATGAGTATACAATTTGTACAAATAGTGTTTTAAACTTAACTAAATATAGAATTACAGAACTACAGACAAAGCAAAGGAAAAGACATTGCATGATTCTATTAAGACAGATTGAATAAAGATGAGCTCTCTAAATAAATGAACTAATCAAGAGAGCAGCCCCCTTTGTATGATGTATTGATAAATAATGCATTACAAAAGTAGATAATGAGAATAGAATGAGAATATAAAGTACCACAACCATCCATGGTGCTGTGATTTTCCAAAAGTGTTTAGCTTACTTTGGTTATCTCAAAGTTAGTGAGGCATAGTATAATAATAAATTCTCTTTATTTTCTATTACTGAAAATAAAATAGTCGCAGTTAAACAAATTTTTGATGCTGTAGTTCTATTAACTCACACTCCATTTTAAGTAATAGCTATCATTTGCGATTTAAATCATAAAGTGTTGTATCTAAATAATTCAAGTTCTATTTTTTGAGGTACAGAACTTGAAATGGCTTTGAAAAAAGGAAACATTTCACAACATACTAGGGTTGCGTCGCCCTGATTGAGTATGTACCTGGAAACGTGACATTTACATCGCTTCAACTATTGCGAAAAAATTGGGAGATTGGGGCGAAGCTGCGACCAAAAACGCGCGAAATCATGTGTATACGCCATTTATCAAAGTTAAGAAAACATTTTGGTTCAATTAATAAATCGATGAACGAATAATTGGACAAGAAAATGACACACCTGAAACGAAGAAGTATGTGTCTGCCATTTTGCGTAGGATATTTTCGGTACTCTTTTTCTCATAATTATTTTTTAAAGGGACAATCATATTTTAACTGCTAACCTAGCAATTATAGGCACATATCATGCATGAGGAATAAGGATCTTTGCACAAATCGCTCAGTTTTCAATTTGTTTTGCCACAGAGAGAAGTGAAATAAGCTGACTGACTTGGCCTAAGTTCGCCCTGATTGGGTATATTAAAACGGCTGTTTCAGTTCGGTAGTTTTTTCGCATAAATTCTCAAAACCAAACCTGTAAGTTTCAAATTGTCAAATATTTTTAAACAAAAATACTCTAGAGCAAATTTGATACATTTTGAATACAATTTTCAGCCAAAATATTGCACTTCGTCAAAGCCGTCAATTTTCCCCTTGTTTTGACTCTTGCGAAAGCGACAATTTTGCATGCACCAGATCGGCGGATAATAAAAATTCAATGAAACATTGTCATGCAAGGATGTTTTAAAGGTGTTTGCAAGTGTTTAATCACTTATTTTCTTTTTGATTTTTTATTCGTGCGAGCTAATATTTACATACGGGAAACATACCCAATCAGGGCGACGCCAGAAATTTAGGCTGTCAAGACAACTAAGAAGTATCACAGCTTTTTCAAGAAACTTTGTAAAACAAATTACCTGATCTTTTGAAATATATATCTGAAGAGCCTGAATGATTTTGTCAGTGCTAAGTTTTATTTCTAAGTCTACGCAAAATAGAAAATTTTTAATTTGTATCTAGGTATACTCAATCAGGGCGACGTGACCCTACTCAAACCTTTTTTTATTTTATATAGGCACACAGCACTGATTGGCCAACTTTGCTGGCCATTTGCTTGCGTTTGTGTTTAGCTTGAATGGGTATTTTCAAAATGATTTGCCTTGTAAAAACTACAACATTTGATATTCAGATATAAACTGGTCTCCACCAGACATGTTCCAACATAGAAAAGCCTGTCACTGTTTTTGCTCATTATTTCCTTTTCCCAAGGCTGCACAAATTAAACTAAAATCTTACTTTGTTTTGTGTCCCTGTGAACTTTTTACTCCTTCTGTCCTCTAAAGGGGTGCTTATTTGAGCAGTGTGCTCTTTCAAAATGAGGTGCTAATGCAAGGGTTAATAGGTTGTCAATTTAAGTAGCTATTTAATGTTTTATTGACATACCAATCCTAAAATTCTGTCTTTAAAAGGTACTTTAAAGATTTGACTACATTTTCTTAAGCCTCCTAAATTATTCTTTGTGACCATGTCTCTTTCTTGTAGCCGAACTATCATTGGCAAAGTAAAGGGGACATGAAAAGCAGTGGTGTAGAGGACATGGTCCTTCTCCCAAAAATTCAGGAAGCTGCTATTGTAGACAATTTGAAGAAAAGGATTATGGATGACCTGATATTTGTATCCTTTCCTGTACATGAAAGAAATGTTTTGGATGATTAGTAGTTCTTAATACACGTTCGATTTTCTATCTTCTTGTTCTTTTTAATCCACTATCCTTTATTAATCTATTGATTACGTCTTGACTTTCACTTTCCAAATGGAGTATTTTGCTTTTGACCTCATGATATATGTTGCTGCAATGACCTAAACATTATAATTACTTTTTTGTAAAATAAGTAATGTCATTATTAGTCTTTATCAAAAAGATGAACTTAATGACCTAATCTTGAAATATCACATGGTTTTTTCATATCTCAAGCCTTATCTGTATTAAGCTTTAATTTGATAGAAACCCCATGTTGTCATAAATTTCCTTTACAAATTATAGACATATATTGGACCAGTACTAGTGTCAGTCAATCCTTTCAAGCAAATGCCTTATTTCACTGACAGAGATGTTGAGCAATATCAAGGAGCTGTGAGTATTCCTTTAGTGACTGTAACCAGTAAATTATGCATAAAGATTCAGCCAAAGAAATTTTGCTGTACTGTTAAAAATATATCATATCTGATCAATACATGAAACTTACCAACTCTTTCTGAAGGTATGGGTAATGTGATATTGAATTTTTTTTAAAAATATTCAGATATTT